ACCCAAATGTTGCTGTGAATACCTTAGTGCTGGTACACGAAGACAATGTTCCTCCTCAGAAGTGGCTAATGGGTAGAATTATTGAAACTATAAGTGGAGGAGATGGACGAATACGAGTTGCCGAAGTAAAAACCAAGAAAGGAATTATTCGTCGACCTATTCACAAATTAGCCATGCTCTTAAATTGAAAGTGTCCTTTCAATGGGGCCGGTATGTTAGGTCAACGCATATTTATTGTCATCAATTCATGTAATTTATACTTAATTTATCAATTGTAATTATTAAAATCGTCAAAATTATTACTATTTACATTGTTGCATGTTGATCGGTGTCCACTGTATCTTTTTTCGCGTTTGTTAATATTTCTTTCTCTGCTTTCGTTGGCCGTAAGCATAGCTAAGTAAATAATCGAAAACGAATATTTGCAATGAGTTGTTTGCTGTTCTTTCTAATGATAGTTAGAAATACAAACAGCATATATATTTCACTCAATTATACATTATTGCAGAATGCACTCAAGTAGAGGTACCGATCTGCATGTGTGTCTGTCGATGCATTTTTTGTATTCTTCTTCTCACTTTTGTTATTTGTTAAATTTGTCCAGTTTTTAGAAATAATAAAGAACACATTCGAAAAGGAGTTGGAGCTGTGCGCATTTTTTTGATTTTGCCGGTCTTGATATTTGGTGGTTTTTTACATTTACACTGGGAAGAACCCTCAGCATAAAAGTTGATTTTTTAAGTTTAAAATTAAGTTTATGCTACTCCAGAAAAACGCTTCTGGATTGAACACATAACTTTACTCTTTCGTGTATTAATTGAGAGTCCGTTTGCAGATAACCACGTTACTAACACATTGATATTAAAATGTATAGAGGACTGCAAAACATCTAAAAACACAAATCTGCAAGTCATCAGCAAATGCAAATGACATGCAGCTCCTACTACTAATACAACTTAGCAAATCATTAACATACATAACAAACAATAGAGGCCCAAGTACAGACCCCTGGGGTACACCACTACTCACAGGGAGCATTCCAGAAACAACATTCCTACAACAAACATACTGATTCCTTCCAAACAAATACGACAAGATAAGCTTACAAGCTGAGGACGAAAAATTGAACAAACGATGCAATTTTCTGATTAAATTGGCATGATTAATTTTGTCAAAGGCTTTCTCTAAGTCTACTGACAACAACACACAACAACCTCCCGCACCAACAGTCTTCCTTATATTGTCAGTCAATCCAACAAGAAGAGATGCAGTGCCGCCATTACATCTAAATCCATACTGGCTCTCATGTAATAGAGAATTTTCGCCAATATAAACTATCTTTCATGACATACTCAACCATTTTAGAAAGAATCGACATTATAGATATAGGCCTATATTCACTAGAATCGCCATTCTTTTTTTGAATAGGCACTATTTTTGCAATTTTCGACATCTCTGGAAACACAGACATTGTTAACATAGAATTGACAACGTGCAACAAGAATTGACCAACAAGGGGAAACACAAGCTTTAGAAACTTTAGCTGAAATCCATCATATCCAACTGCCGTGGACTTGATTTTATTGAAAGCATCAACAATCTCAGCATAATTAATTGCACGAAAGGAAAAACCATCAAAAGCATCAACAGGAATACAAGAAACATTAAAAAAATCTACATCTAAAACATCCCACTAGATCCTACTATCAAAACATTTTTGGTGACCCCGACGCAAAAATGTTTTGATAGTAGGATCTAGTGGGATTCAATTCAAACACATAAATTTGAACTGACACTTAGTATCCAAATTAATTTCCTTGCAAGCACATGAACTTGAAGGAAGCCGCCTAAATAGTAATTAAAACTCTTAGTTTAGTCACTACAAAAGACGACTGAATTTTCTTTATTTCTGGCTTTCTTTATATACATAATTTCTTAACATTATTAATTACAAAATGCTATTGATAAATGCTGATACTAATTAATAGTAATGTAGGTCGACTACTAGTAAACATTAAATGCTATGTAAGCAAAATAAATAAATGTGTTAAAGAAACTTTAAAACATTGCAAAAAGTGAATGAACCAATGGCCAATGAACTAAAATAAAGAAAATTAACTGTAACAATAAAATAGTCCAAATATGTGATATAATAATGCTGTAAAAGCAGTTTAAAACTTATAAATATGTAGGTGTGCTTGATTTTTGTATTTATTGTTTGTTTTGGTAATTAAATATAAAGTATGTTTATAGAACAATAAAAAAAATATATATATTTATGTATGTTTTAACATTCTCCGCCGCGTTGACATTGTTCAAGTAATGAGTGCGCCTGGGTTGGATGCATGTGGGGATGACTCCATTGTAACATCGATTGTTGATTGATGAGATCTTATAGCTGGTGTAGGTATGAATTGAGATGGCTTCTTAAATTTTGTGTGGATCCTCCAACTCAGCAGGCCAAGTAAAATAAGAATGCAGCAAGCTAAAGATGCGTAGCTAACTGCATGATGATGTTGATTTGATGAGTGTATTAATTGTGGTAGGTGTTTTAGAGTTGATTCATGCAACTGTTTTTGTATATTATCCAATTCTTCTCGATGAATCTTGTAAGAGGTGGTATTGGTATTTGTTGAAACCTTTTTAATTTCCTCTTGTCGACTTATATATTGAATGCCTTTCAATCTTACATAGGATGTATGTAAACTACTGGAAGCTGCAAAATGTCCATGTATCGTAACAAATTTGTTTTTTATTACGCAGTTAGGACCAATTTCCATTATTCCGGAATTTTTAATGATGATGAGGTTGAGTTCAGATCCGCATACCATTGAAGATTCAATATCGGCTGTAGTAGCAAAGATCCATTTATTTTGATGATGTAATTGACTCCAAACTGCGGTTCCAGTAATTTTGTGAAGACGGCAATTGCTAGTTGATTGGTTATTGAAGATACTGATCTCGCAAGGGTTAACAAGTGCATTTTTCTTGAGCTTTGACTGCTGATTTCTGCAAATATATTCATCATCGTTTGGTTTGAAGCAGCTTGAAATATCCTCTGATTTGAAAAGAATGTATTCTTCTCTATGTGCATCGGTAGATATGTATTCCGTTTCAGGTAGAATGGCGATTAAGGTGTCATTTTGTATTGTTGGAACTGCAACTATTTTGAACAACTCAAAAAACTGTTGGTTAACTAAGGGTATCTTCACTTCAAAAATTATTTCATATTTTGTAACAGCCCCCTTGACACTCATAAGCTTATAAAGTTGAATCAAATTGTCACCTGCTGTTGGCAAAGCATGTGAAATTGGAAGATTAGCCTTGATGACACTAATTTCTTCTTTCAATTGATGAGGAGCCAATAACAGGGGACTGATTTTTCCATGATGAGTATCGGTAAGTACATTAATGATTTCGGCCTGTGTTCTCTGTAGGTTTATTGCGGATAACATCAAATGCGTTGATAGAAGTCCAAACAGTTGAGAATTGTTGAATTGGGCGGATTCTTCAGCTATATCGTTATTCTGTTTGTCAACCATTTTCAAAATCTCCCGTATTTTTTGGTGAGTGTTAATCTCATCCTGTTTTATAACATTAATAGTTGAATCAATTATTGAAGTCTGATTTTTCAATAGACTGATTATGTGGTCCTGTTCGCCTTTTGCTGGTTGATGGTCTTTGACATTTCTTCTGCATAGTCCGCATCAAGAACGCCAAAAAGTGAGTGCGCAATATTGCCAATTATGTTGAATGGAGATCTTTTTACACGTTTATTGATGAATAATTCCTTGTCTTGTAGTAATTCATTTTTCGTCTGCTTCAGATTGTATACAAAAATGTTGCACATCTCATACTGATGCATTACAGGGCACATTTGCTGCAACGTTTGTAAGCTGGATGCCAATGACTCTATTTCCGAAACAAAGGGCTTCAAGTCATAATATACTAACATCTTCCATTCTGCCGTATTCAGTTTCACTGTTCCTAATCCTTCAAAATATAATCCCGGATCATTGTGAAATTGTGTAACTTTCAAATTGTTGCACAGGACCGTAGGTATTAGGAACAATGTTAATAATACTGATAGTATTATAGGACTGTTTGCAATTCTCACTCTTTTTGCCGGAATGGCATCTCTTCCATGTTCATCTGTTACCGGCTTTTTCTTGTGGGAAATTGTGCTTTCTTTTTCCATTTTGTACTACCGGGCCCCCCCGAAATGAAATCCTGAGTACGTTGCTGCTTCCGACCATCTTTTCCAGAATTGGTGCTTAATATGCGAAATTAACTTCCAGTGTGTTATACTGGATGTTTTCGAAGTTTCTGCTCTACTATCTACCTGTGAAGTTAGAGCTTCGCCGATTAGAAAATGTCCCGGCGTCAATGCTTCAAGGCAATCTGGATCGTTTGAAAGAGGTGTGAGCGGACGCGAATTCAAAATAGCTTCGATTTCTACTATTATTGTCTCTAATTCTTCATGAGTAAGTGTTTCCGTTGAAACACTACGGACCAAGAGACGTTTTGCGGACTTCACTGCAGCTTCCCATAAGCCTCCGAAATGCGGAGCTCTTGGTGGAATGAAATGGAACTGTATGCCCTTGGAACTTGCAGCTGATAAAAGTAGCTCTTGCGTCTTGTCCGAATATAAGGTTTCAGATAATTCCTCTAAACTATTTTTGGCTCCAACAAAGTTTGTAGCGTTATCGCAATATATATTTTGGCAGTGATCTCGGCGAGCTATAAATCGTTTAAGAGCGCCAATGAATGATTCAGTTGATAGGTCCGATACGAGCTCTAAATGAACAGCCGTTGTTGCAAAGCAGCAGAATACAGCGACATAAGCCTTTGTTGGTCGTTTGCCCCTGACCTTGTAATGTATCCAAAATGGTCCACAGTAGTCGACTCCAGAGTTGATAAATGGTCGAGCAGGAACTACCCTTGTTGCTGGCAAATTTCCCATTATTTGTTGATATAGCTGTGGTCGCGCTCTATTACATTTTATGCATTTTTGAACGGTAGCCCTTGCTGTTATCTTGCCTTTTATTGGCCAGAATCGCTGTCTTATTGTGTTTAACAGGGCTTGAGCTCCACAATGTTTGTTTTCTTCGTGAACTGTCTTAAATAGCAATTTCACCAATGGATCATTATAAGGCAATGTCATTTGGTGTTTCGCATCCATTTGTAGCATAGCATGTTCCAATCTTCCTCCAACGCGAAGAATGCCTTCATCATCCAAAAACGGTGATAAACTGCATAACGAGCTATGCTTATTAATCTGCTTTTCAGCCTTCAATGCGTTGATATCAGCTGCAAATTCGGATGATTGTACGGCTTGAATTATTAGACGAAGGGAGTCGTCTAATTCGTTGGAAGACACTGCTATATGTTGAGGCCGGTGTGCCTTTTGCATACGTACATTCCTGGTGAATCTAAGCACGTATGCCAAAATTCTTTGTAACTTCCTGAATGAATTTTTGTGCTCTATCATATGTATTAGATGCATGTCAGAAGCTACTATTGACGTCGTAGCTGCAGTCTTTAACTCCATGCTATTTGTTATATCCTCTTGCGGAGAGAATTTGGTCGGCCATAGTTCTTCTTTTCCATGAAGAAAAACTGGACCATGAAACCATAATCGGCATTTAGAAAGATGAGCTGGCGAGTGTCCTCGAGATAAAATGTCGGCAGGGTTTTCTTTTAACTTAACGTGGTTCCATTGTTCTGGCAATGTTAAGTTTTGTATGGTGGATACCCTATTAGCCACAAAAGTCTTATATACGTTGGACCTTGATTTTATCCAGGCGAGTACTATCTCAGAATCAGTCCATAAAAACATCGGATTATTCTAAAGCCTTAGGTCATTTTTCACCCTGGTAGCCAGTTGAGCTGCTACCACTGCGGCACATAGCTCTAATCGTGGTAGAGTTTGTTTTTTGAAAGGAGCTACCCTGGATTTAGCACAGATCAGACGTACAACTACTTGTCCATCTTTTCCAATAAAACGAATATAAATAGCCGCGCCAAAAGCTCTTTCCGATGCATCGGCAAACACATGCAACTGAATTTTCGTCGGGATCTCCCCACAGAATACATGTCGCGGTATCTTAAAGTTGTTGAGACCTTCCAATTCCCTTCGAAATGTTTTCCAAGTGGCACAAAGTTTTTCGGGTAATGCTTCGTCCCAATCTAATGTATGTTGCACAGCTGCTGAATAAATATTTTTGCCTTCACCACAATCAGTGCAAGTAGGCCAAGCGGATCAAACAATTTTGCTAGTTCAGACGTAACTACTCGTTTTGATTATGATCAATGTTTGTTTTTACACAAAATTGATCTGCTTGCGGCATCCAATATAATCCCAACGTCTTTATTGTTTGAGATTCGTTGAGATCCAGGTTCACTTCTCGATCGCTATGTGGTATGTCCTTCAGCAATCTTGGTGTATTGGATGACCATTTCCTTAGAATGAAGCCGTGTTGTTTCAAGATTGTTACTAACTCCTTTTGGATTTCAATAGCTGTACTTAGGCTATCTGCACCGCCGAGACCGTCATCCATATAAAAATTATCTTTCAGCATTTGTGAGCCTAATGGATAACGCTCCATGTTCTCGTTTGCAATCTTTTGTAAGCATTTTGTAGCCAGATACGGTGCTGAACGTGTCCCATATGTGACCGTATTAAGTTTGTAATAACTAGACCTCGGATTTTTGCATATTTTTTATGCTTTATCCGATTGGACTCAAATTTTGTATTTAGGCGTTTCATGCTTTAATTGATCGATATTTGGGGTCATGTCAAAAATATGCAAAAAATATGCAAAAAATATGCAAAATATATGCAAAAAATATGCAAAATATATGCAAAAAATATGCAAAATATGCAAAAAATATGCAAAATATGCAAAAAATATGCAAAATATGCAAAAAATATGCAAAATATGCAAAAAATATGCAAAATATGCAAAATATGCAAAAAATATGCACGGTATGCTAGGTCGATATGCGTTAAATATATGCAAAAAATATACAAAATATGCATTGTCGATATGCAAAATATGAGAAAATATGCAAAATATGCAAAATATATGCAAACATATGCAAAATATGCAAAAATATGCAAAAATATGCAAAATATGCAAAAATATGAAAAATATGCAAAAATATGCATAATATGCAAAACATATGCAAAATATGCAAAAATATGCAAACATATGCAAAATATGCAAAAATATATGCAAAATATACAAAAATATGCAAACATATGCAAAAATATGCAAACATATGCAAAAATATGCAAATTATGCAAAAAATATGCACGGTATGCTAGGTCGCACTATTAAAGATAGAACTTTGAAATTTTGCACATATATTATTATTACTCCTAGGATGTTTGGTATTGGAAATGGGATATATCGGTCCACGTTTTAGTATATCGCCATATAACGGTTAAATATGTTTGCATGTTTTATACATATATTTAGCAAATTTTTCATAATGCCCCAAAAATCTAACAGTTGAACCATGAAACGCATACATACAAAATTAGATTTCTATAGGTAAAAAACAAAGAAAGCACACAAATTCGAAAACTACCATGAAAAATCTTTTTTTTTTTTTTTTTTTTTTTTTGATTAAAATAATTGCATATGTGAAATATGTTGCTCATATTTTGCATATTTTTGCCAATATTTTTCATATTTTTTGCATATTTCTCGCATATCGACCTAGCACACCGTGCATATTTTTTTGCATATTGTGCATATATTTTTGCATATTTTGCATATGTTTGCATATTTTGCATATGTTTGCATATTTTGCATATATTTTGCATATTTTTGCATATTTTGCATATGTTTGAATATTTTTGCATATTTTGCATATGTTTGCATATTTTGCATATATTTTGCATATTTTGCATATTTTTGCATATTTTGCATATGTTTGCATATTTTGCATATATTTTGCATATGTTTGCATATTTTGCATATATTTTGCATATTTTTGCATATTTTGCATATGTTTGCATATTTTGCATATATTTTGCATATTTTGCATATATTTTGCATATGTTTGCATATTTTGCATATATTTTGCATATATTTTGCATATTGTGCATATATTTTGCATATTTTTGCATATTTTGCATATGTTTGCATATTTTGCATATATTTTGCATATTTTGCATATATTTTGCATATGTTTGCATATTTTTGCATATTTTGCATATGTTTGCATATTGTGCATATATTTTTGCATATTTTGCATATGTTTGCATATTTTGCATATGTTTGCATATTTTGCATATTGTGCATATATTTTGCATATTTTGCATATGTTTGCATATTATGCATATTTTTGCATATTTTGCATATATTTTGCATATGTTTGCATA